CACAAGTGAGATTGGCGGGGACGAGGAGCAGGGCCTTCTCAGTGGTGGCCCCTCACCTATGGAATTCACTCCCTGGGGAAATTAGATCAGCGACATCCCTCCTTTCCTTCAGAAAGAAATTAAAAACATGGATGTGGGACCAGGCATTTGGGCAATCTGGCAGATAAATAAAGGACTGCGACGACGGATAGGAATAGACAATGTGGAACGAAGTATGGACTCTGAGTTGGCGAACGCTGTGCTTGAGATTGGCTATTGATTGTGTTAATTGTTTAACCGTTTAACTGCTGTTTTTATACGTTTTTTGTATTATTGTGTAGGCATCGAATTGTGCCATTTTGTAAGCCGCCCTGAGTCCCCCCTCGGGGGTTGAGAAGGGTGGGGTAGAAGTACACGAAATAAATAAAAAATAAATGAAGGAAGGAAGGAAGGAGGAAGGAAAAGGAATTTGAGATGAGGAAGAGGTGGAGGGGAGGGCTGGACAGGCAGGCGCGTGTCAGTAGAAATGGCTATATGTGTCAGTACTGATACGCATGTCATAGGTTCGCCATCACTGATCTCCGGGTCAGGTGGAGTTCTCGCCTGGCCGGCAGACAAGAGGCCAGCTCGGTGAAAGGTCATCGCAATGATTTCATGTAATGTTTTCATGTTAGAAAGTTATGTAGGCTTCTTGCAAACCAAGGGAAAGTGTCAGTTCAATGTAGCTTATTAGCCTGAAAGCTTCATGGAATAATCTTAGCCTGGAAAGCAGTATGCTTAGGATTTCTTGCATTGTGATTCATGGGGCAATTGTTTCATTGCTTGTACCTGGGACTCTGGTTTGAACTTTGCCAATAGGATTATGTCTCCTGCTTTTACCTGAAGATCTTTGGAACTATATTCTGCATTTAACCTTAATCTTTGGATCTTTGGAATGCTTATTCTTTATTCTGACTTTGATTTTTTCCTCAATAAACTATAAAATTACAGCTCTCGTGTGGTGGTGTTTGGAAGCAAGGTGAAGCTTACTCTGAGTTGCAACATACAGCTCCCATTCTTCAGAGAGAAGATCCCTTAGTGTTGACTTTACAAACAATCCCAACGAAAAACCCGGATTCCAATTCCAAATCGGTAGACTCACCAAGATGACAGCCCTCCATGGATCACGATGTGTCTCTTAAGACATTCAATATCATCTGATAGGTCTTCGTTGAGGAAATCTGTCAATATATATATATATACAATCATATTAACATCTGTAAGCGGCGTTGCCCAGGCATGCATTTTCTGAGAACAGGTTTCTGTGAAGACTTGAGTTTCTTCATTGTAAGGACTTCTTCCTCCAGCTATCTTCCATGCTTGCCTGGTCCTCCTAGAGCAGTAGTTCTCAACCTGAGGTCCCCAGATGTTTTTGGCCTACAACTCCCAAAAATCCTAACCAGCTGTTGGGATTTCCCAACCAGCTGTTACCAGCTGTTAGGATTTCTGGGAATTGAAGGCCAAAAAACATCTGGGGACCCCAGGTTGAGAACCACTGTCCTAGAGTGTTTCTCAACCTTCCTAACACCACGACCCCTTAGAACGGTTCCTCATGCTGTGGTGACCCCCAACCATAACATTATTTTTGGTGCTACTTCTTAACTGTAATTGTACTACTGTTATGAATCATCTTGTATATATCCGAAATGCAGGATGATTATCATTCACTGGACCAAATTTGGCACAAATACCCAATACTCCCATATCTGAATACTGGTGGGGTTGGGGGGCATTGATTCTGTCATTTGGGAGTTGTAGTTGCTGGGATTAATAGTTCACCTACAATCAAAGAGCACTCTGAATTCCACCAACAATGGAATTGAGCAAGACTTGGCACACAGAACTCCCATGACCAACAGAAGGGTTTGGTAGGCATTGACCTTCAGTTTGGGAGTTGTAGTTCACCCACTTCCACAGAGCACTGTGGACTCAAACAATGACGGATCTGGACCAAACTTGGCACGGATACTCACTATGCCCAATTGTGAACACTGGCCGATTTTGGAGAAAATAGGCCTTGACATTTGGGAGTTGTAGTTGCTGGGATTTATAGTTCACCTACCATCAAAGAGCGTTCTGAACCCCACTAATCACATAATTGGGCCAAACTTCCCACACAGAACCCCATGACCAACAGAAGGTACCCCTCTGACACCTCACAATCCGCTCAGGGGTTCCAAACCCTGATGGCATATCCATATACTACCTTCTTGTGGTTGCACCTGAGCACAACCTGCATATCTACCTAGA